CCCCCTCACCCGGGAGCCGTGCTGCCTGGTTGTCCCCTGAGCAGTGGCCGGGTGCTTCGGTCCCCGCTGCCGTCTGTGCAGGAGGAGGTGGTACAAGCCAGCCGCTCTTCGCTGCGGTGTTACGTTGCTTGGCCGCAGATGCATATAAATTAATTTATTTAATTATTTTTTATAAAGGTTGCAGTTATTTTTATTAAGCATTTACTCATCAAGGGTGCACGCTGCCGTCTCTTCCCAGCCCCAGCTAGTGAAGCGACCTGCCCCGTCTCATCCCGACTCGCTCCTTCCAGCAGCAGCAGGCGATGCCAGAAACGCTCCAGGAGCTGCAGCGCCTTGGCCCAGGCGTAGTGTTTGCATGAGAAAAAAAGGAGCGGTGAGGGAGTAAAGTCCAAAGGCGACGAGGTGTGAGTCACATGGTGAAACTGCGGTGCCGCTGCTGACTTCCCCGGGGCTTAAAACCAGGGCGCAAGGAGGGACTGGCAATCCCAGGGGTGCAAGCAGCCAGGATGGTGAGAACACACTCGATCCTCGCGTGCCGGGAGCTCGGCTACGCTGACGAGCTCGTTTCTGTTTGGTGTTTTTTACTGTGCTCTGATTAACATGGAAATTCTCATATATGGCCATGCTGGGTAACCACACATCCCCGTGCTTTTACTGGTCCTGCTCTGGAAAGGCCTCTTGGGCTGCGGGATGTCCCCGGCTCCCCTGGGTTGCAGCGGGAGCGTGAAGCGACGCTTTAAATCCTCCGCTCGCTCCTCCCAGGTTCTTCCAAGCACAGCCTTTAAATTCTGTGCCATCAGCTGCTTGATTAATTAATGCTCTTCTGTTTCACTTGTTTGATGATGATATTCAGTGATGTGACTGAAACTCACCTCCCAGGGCAGAGAGTCTTACGCACTGAAAGGGGCTGGACGTGTATTTTTAGTAAAACAGTATTTTCAGCTCAGGATTTGAAGTTTCTGGTCATTTCCTTGTCCCTCGCTGAGTCACACGCCAAGTCCTTTCTGTTGTTTATTGCAGATGTTGAAGGTTATGATAATCTGGGAGTCAAGTGCTCAGCTTTTGGAGGGAGGAGGAAGCGAGGAGCAGGATGAGCTCTCGCTGCTCATCGGCACCAGGCACGAGAGCTGTGCAAAACTTCCAGGGAGCTCCAGTTTATTATCCAAATAATGTATTGGAAAAGGCACACGGCAGGATTTAAGGCAATTTCACATTATTGCTCAGCTTGGCCGAAAGAGGCGAGGGATCAGCCCCGTAGTCCTGGCCCGGAGATGAGCACAGCAGGGCTGTCTGTCTGTCCGTCCGTCTGTCTGCCCAGCTCTGCTCCCAGGCCCCAGAGGCAGCAGCCTCACAGCACCTGAGGGGCTGTGGGGCTGCAGGGCTGGGTGGGGGAGCCAGGGTGCCCTCCTCTGCCCCACTTCAGCAAATATTCCTTACCGTGGCTTCCCGCCTGTGCCTGCGGGCAGGGATTTAAGCCAGAAACGCTGTCAGTCGGGTTTGTCCTGCCAGCCTCAGCTCACCTTGGAGGTGGCAGCCCTGCAACCGTGCCTCACCCGGGATGCATCTCCACAGCCTCCCCAGCTGGACGCTGGCACCGCTCGGGGCTGGATCCTAAAAGCAGGTATCCTGGCATTTCCCTCCTTGCCCTTACACCCTGGATTTCCAAACTCTTCATCAGTCAGTAGACATTCAGAGCACCAAGAAGTTTCAACACAGGGATGGGGCAGGGGTCTGCGGGCTGCCGGCACGCCGGGCTTGTGCCACAGTGCCAGGAGGGAGCAATGCGGTTGTGTTCTGGTGTTTGCCCGCTCTGCTCTGTGCTGGGGCAGGGTCGGGTCCCCTGGCAGGACCAGCCATGTCCAGGGAGGATGCTCGATGCCGAAGCAGAGGAGCTACTGGATGGAACAAGTCTCTCCCCAAGCAGCAGCAGTTTGCTGCTGGTGGAGGGAGCGGACGAAGTTCTCGCCGTTAGGACACGTGCTCTTCCCGCTCCGGTGGGTCCATGCTGAACTGGCCGTCGGTCAGAGAAAGAGGATGCGTGCAGGGACGTGTGGCAATGCGGGGCCCTCCCAAAGCGTCGGGCTCTCGCGCTGGGCCGGGGCGGCAGATCTGGAGAGGACCCGACAGGCTGTCGGGAGCGCTGAGCGTCAAACACGCCGTGCAGCCACTGGAGCGTTAGGGCTGGGTTTCTTCTCCTTGGGGGTGCATCCCAGGGTGTAAACCCCCCATTTCTGATGCAGGGGGGTCTGCAGCCCTCCTGGCATGCCTGGGGGTGGGAGCAGCAGGGATACAGGGACCGTACGGCAGCGGGGCCATCCCTCGGTGGTGCTGACTGCTGGCTGCATCGCCTCGCTCGCCCCCAGCTTTGGGGATCTGATTTTTTACCAGGGGGATGGCTGGGACTCCCTGCGGAGCCCAGCTGGGCCGGGGGGCCCGGGTGCCCTCCCTCCCCAGCTACCCCTGGGAATTTCAGAACTTGTTAGACCATTTTGCAACCTAAAAGAGGATTTCCCACCGGCAAGGGCTGAACCTGCCCTCCGAGCCAGCTACTCCTTTCGTTAAAAAAATCGACGAGAAAATTGAGCTGACGACAGCACTAATTGCATGATGGCCGGGGGCTGGGGGGATGGCACGCCACGGGGTTTTAAAATCGTGGATGAGTGCCCGGTGGGGTATTTTGCCAGCTGAGAAGGAGCTGGGAGAGGGCTCTGCACTGAGCCGGGGAATACACTGCGCAGGCGGGTTTCTAGAAGCAGCACAAGTTGAGCTGGTAAATTATAAAATGCCACACTTGAGGTCTGTTGCATAATGTCCCTTTACAGAACCTGGTAGCTAAATATAAAAGAGAGTTACATTTTGGGCTGGCGTAAAATGATGCTCCAGAACGGGGTTGTGTGGGAAGGAGCGCTCTGCAGCGCTGCGAGGAACGGAAAGGCTTTCGGGACCCTGGGTTTGCTCCCAGCCTCCATTGCTCGTTTCCTCTGCAACCTTGCGAAAAGCATTTACTCCTCGGGTCTCAGTTTCCCTCTCTTTAAATCAGGAACAATAAAACCTCCATTTCCTTGCAGCTGTGTTGTCAAGATTAATTCATGTTTGCAAAGTGACCTGAGAATCTATAGAAACCCGAACAGTGTATCATTATCCCAATCTAAACTTGGCATATAGTATCAGCGGGCCAAATTCCCCTCCCACACTAAACGAGAAGGGGTTGTGTCAGCACAGCCGAAAGGAAAATTCCAGCCGCCGTTCCTAACCAAAAAATCCAGCAGATAAAAGCTTTTTCGGGCTGAGACCGTGCTGTTTCCCTTGAGGAAAGAAGAGAAGGCTGCGAGGGGACCTAATAAATGTTTATAAATATCTGCAGGATGGGTGTCAGGAGGATGGGGCCAGACTCTTTC